CAAGTTGCAGTGGTTAAGTAGTGGTTAATACTTGGTCATGTTTAGTTCGCAGAGGCAGACGAGCTGCAGATAGATACATCGTGTTCAAAAAAATGGGGCAGTATGGAGTATTGGATTTCTTTCGAAGAAATTGACTGGCTTTAGATCAAAGCTTGATGTCACAGTTGGCATGACTGGAAAATCCTCTTGGCATGGTATGTGATGAAATCCCAACGTATACCACAAGACAATATCCTTGTTCTCTATTGCCCGGTTCCTGTTAATTATCAAATTAAACACATATATATATATATAGGTAATTAATACAATCAAACATCAAAATTACCTTTCAGACCAAACTTCAAGTGTATCATCCCCTTGGCTCTGGTATGCCATAAGCCCTCCCGCCCATTGTTCACTTCGGTTGTATATTGTCACCCATATCTACTTTCAACAATAATTTAGTTGTAGACTTTAAGATTTATACACCAAAACACCCAGATAATATATGTATATATGTATATAGACCTGATTATTAGTGAAAGCACTTCTGAGTTGTGGGGGATCATCGTGATCAAGCAAGCTAGCGGCAGTGGCAGCAGGGACGATTTTGTAGCCAGTTGGGTTTCCTAATCTAGATTGTTTTGAAGGATTTACGAGATGAAATTCTTGGGGTTTATAGAGGCTGAGCTTCACTTGTGCTTCCTTTTCTGTTTTAGCAACATGACGCTCAACTTTCAAGAAGCTCTTTCTGGGAGATTGGCCGGGCAAAGTCTCCTCCTTCACCAAATTAACTTTCACAAATGAGTTATTAACCCCATCGATATCCATGTCCAAGTGATAAGTGATGAAATGATCGTGAACCACACCGATCACGTTTTCAGACACCAATTGCCCTGTCGCCTTCTCTATTTCTTCTGTAGTTTTTTCATGAGGACTCCCTTTCACCATTAGCATTCCCGATAGTCCTACCTGCCATTCAATTTTAAAATATTGTTATATGTTTCTTTTACTGTATATTTGATTTTGATTAGAACTGACCTTAACACGAATCAACCCATCTGTTTGAAATTCCCAGTCGAAAATGTAATCGTAGTTTCCTACCGATGCAACCATTCGAGCCACCAATGTCACCTTTGCTCTTGATTCCCTAATCTGCTCATAGTTCATTCAAGAACTATGTAGTTAGGTTGAGAGTCAATGAATCCAACAAGTTATGAATTTTTTATTAATTAAATAAGATTTATAAGTCACATCATTTAACGAATTGCTGATATACGACCAAATTATACATTAAAAAAATTAATATTACGTACCTGTAATTGGCCAATGGGACTCTCGGAATGTCGCCAGCTAACGTCGCCGGCGTACCTCTCGAACAGACAAATAACGTTAGGCTGAACAAATGGCTCGCCATCTGGTGTGGAGAAAACGCCGTCCATATAATAAGAATATTTAGGACAGTCATTGAGGGGTACCAATTCCATGGCGCATGAACCTAACCCAAACTCGCCAGCATCCATGTACGTTTTGAAATACCATGCCTCATCTGGGTCCATGTAAGGAACATATAATTCCGAAGCGAACCCTTTGTACATCACACTCCGAAGCTCACCGCTCTCCGAGTCTCGAACCATAGCCCGTGATATAACCAACCCCGCTCGCTGGTCGGCCTTTAGGTGGAAAACCCAGTTGGCCCATGTCACCATGTGCCCATCTTCCACTTTGAAGCTCGGACCATTCGGCTCCTCAATTGATATTGGGTTCAGCGGGTTCATTTCTGGCGGGTATGTTTGGCCCTTGTATCGGTAGTCGGTATGGGTGCTCCTCGGAATTGGGATTCTTCGCCCTGTATCGGAAAACTTCACAACTTTTTTCTTGTCAAGGTCAACAGTGACGACGAGTCCTTCGATGGGGCTCATATAGAAGTTGGGGGAGCCTTTGGTAGAGAAGCACTGGACTTTGATGACTCGTCTTCCTTCCTCGGCGGGCCCAAACCAGCCAGGCGACGGGGTGATGCACCTCAAGTCAGAGAAGGAGACGCCCCGTGCGATAATGGACTTGTTGAACTCTGCATAAGAGAGCGGCACTTGCGCTGCTGCCAAAACTTCATCCATAGTGACGAGTGGGTAACCCGAAGTGGGATTGATTGTGTGGTTTGTAACTCGGCCGAGATCCAAGTCCACTGTGAGGATATAAGACTTGGAGCCCATGAGGGCAATAACAGCAGCTTTTCTGGGTGGAAGAGGATGGCCTTTTTTCCATGTGAGCACCTGAGACTTGTCGGGTTCGTCAAGAGCTAAGGAGTGAATTGGTGGAGAAGAAGAGAAGAAAGGTGGGTAGGTTGAGAGGATGGTTCGGACCCTGTTGATTTCTTTTATGGTAAGTGGGTCTAGTGGATGTTTAGGGGTGAGGGTCAAGTGAGCCTTCCGTTGGCCAGAGACAGAAGCTTGCTTGGCATAGATCCGATTCTTGGAAATGCACCATGAGCAATTAAAGAAGCCTGGCTTGTTCACAGGAATCCATGAAGCTGCATAAAGAAACAAGACAGTGATGAAGACAATGGTGAAGAGAACAAGAGGAGAAGCTGTCTTCTTCATGGGTCTCACTTGAACAAAACAAAAGGGTACAACCAGATAACAACTGGGGCTACATGCCTAATGGCGCACTCCTATAAATAAGAATCTTTAATCGTCAATTGCCAAAATTTAAAAGATTTATGTCTTTATAATTTTTTTAAAAATAAATTTAAATATAACCAATTACATCTATAATTTCTATTAATTTACATGTGTTCTATAACAATATAAAAACATCTAGCAACTTCAGTTAAGAAAAATACAAAAACCCATCCCAGCTGTGCTACAGAACCAGACTTTCTTCTAAATTTTACTATATATTTTTCTTTCCTCTTTTGTTTTTTGTTGGGGATGTACATGTGTTCTTTGAAACATATTTAGTTATTATTAATAAGTGTGTAAATTAATTAATAATGAAAATTATATATTCAGCACCTTTTGGGTTTCCTTTTTAATAAAATACATATATATATATATACACACATATAATCGTATTATTTATATACCATATCAAATAAATATAAACAAATATTCCCTAGATGTTACTTGGCCAGTCTGTGATTCAGAATAAATTATTCTTGGAAGTTTATAGATTACAGCAACAAATTAATTTAGTTAATTCAAAACGTTAGATAGTAACTTCAGGATCAACAATAATTAAACTATATTAACAGCATTAAATTCTCAAACAACCTTAAAAAATTTATATCTTTTCATAATTCTGAAAGATTTAAGTTATTATTCGTAATTAAAGAGTTATAACGCAGCTGGTAAAAAAAAAAAATTATAAACTCAAATGGGTATTAAAGGATTGTAAATTAAATGATATGTATGGCCCACCTGTTCCTCTGTATATAATTAATTAAGTTTATATTAGTTATTTTACATTGGATAGGCAAGGGGCAGAAGTCAGGAGTCGCGTCAGCTCCCACCATCTTGTCTTGTATCATGTTGATTTTTCTTTTTTGTGTTATAAAATATGATAGCGGATGAAATCAAAAGCCATAAGAATTGGTGGAGAGTTTTAATTTTTGATATTGGTAACGAATGAGTAGAAATTGAGCTTATTGACTTTTGGTACACATGAATTTTGATATTGCTCGAGTTTTCTTCTGCTGAGATTATTGTAGGGAATATATCTTGAAGGTTGAAGGAAGGAGGGGTTACAAGTTTTAAACATGGTGGAATTCTAGTTTTTTAATTGTTGAGTAATATCTCTTTGGTCAATAAGTATGTTTCCTTGATCATCTTTAAGAAGAGATCTAACATTCCTCCTCCTTTTAAAAATTGTTGTTGTACCAAAAAAAATCTAGTATTTCTATCTTCTTCCCCCAACCATTTTTTTTTTTTTTTTTTTTGTTTTCATAAAGTCATTTCCCACTTAAGCATTTCAAGATATTCCAATTGTAGAGCAACTTATGTTTCAAGATCATGTCTAGTGGGTTCATCTTATTGTATCTTAATGTCTTCAAGTTTGCTCTATATGTTTTCGAAGTGGCATTTATTTTTAATTTGTTTAATTTTTGTAGACAGATATAGGCTTTTGAACCTTGGACTTCAGTTTTCCATGCATCTTCCACAACCTTCCAGCAAGTACCATTTCTGAGCCAAACTTCTTTAAAACGGATTGGTTGTTTGTGAAGAGGCTTGTTGCCTTTGAGACATAATAGAAGAGGAAAGTGATCAGAATATATTTCCTTTAGATGATAGAGTTGTGCCTCTTGAGTACAAATTTATCCATGAAAAATCGTGGCAAATCCTATGTCTTGTCTTGTTTGTTTATTCGTCATTTTAGCTTTTTTATTGCTCAAAGTGAGTCTTTTACCAATAAACCCC